TGTCCCCAGTGTCCCCAATGTCCCCAATGTCCCCAGTGTCCCCATTGTCCCCAGTGTCCCCATTGTCCCCAGTGTCCTCAATCCCCCAATGTCCCCAATCCCCCAATGTCCCCAATCCCCCAATATCCCCAAAGTCCTCAATGCCCTCCATGCCCCAGTGGCCCCAATGTCCCCAATGTCCCCAACGTCCCCAATGCCCCAGTGTCCCAAATAGCTCCAATGACCCCAATGTCCCCAATGTCCCCAGTGTCCCCAATGCCCCAGTGTCCCCAATAGCCCCAATGTCCCCAATGTCCCCAAACCCCTGTGTCTGTCCCCGACCTTCCTCGACGCCGGTGACGATGGAGGCGAAGTTGTCGTCCAGCAGGATCATGTCGGCCGCCTGCTTGGACACGTCGGAGCCGGCGATGCCCATGGCGATCCCGATGTCCGCCTTCTTCAGCGCCGGAGAGTCGTTGACGCCGTCACCCGTCACCGCCACGATGGCGCCCTGGGGACATTGGGGACATGGGGGGTATTGGGGGTATTGGGGACATTGGGGATGTTGGGGGACACTGGGGACACTGGGGGTATTGGGAGTATTGGGGACATTGGGGATGTTGGGGGACACTGGGGACACTGGGGGTATTGGGAGTATTGGGGACATTGGGGACATTGGGGGTATTGGGGGTATTGGGGACATTGGGGACATTGGGGACATTGGGGACATTGGGGATGTTGGGGGACACTGGGGACATTGGGGGACATGGGGGACACTGGGCACCAGAGGGGACATCACAGGGCAAAGGGACAGGGACATGGTTTGGGACACTGTGGGGTGTGGCAATCCCAGGGGACATGGGTTTGGGGACACCGTGGGACAGAGGGGTGGGGACACTGTGGACGTGAGGATGGCAATACCAGGGGTCGTGGGTTTGGGGACACCGTGGGACATGGGACAGGGGACACCGTGGGACATGAGGATGGGCACCGTGGGACATGGGACTGGGAGCAGCAAGGGACAGGGGATGACAGGGGACAGGTGACAAAGGACAAGTGACAGGAAACAGGACAAAGGAGAAGGGATATTGGGATAAGGGGGGATATGGAGACAGGCGACACGGGTGACACGGGTGACACAGGTGACACGGGTGATACAGGTGACACAGGTGACACGGGTGACAGGGGACACGGGTGACACGGGTGACACGGGTGACACAGGTGATACAGGTGACACAGGTGACACAGGTGACACAGGTGACACAGGTGACACGGGTGACACAGGTGACACAGGTGACACACAGGTGACACAGGTGACACAGGTGACACGGGTGACAGGGGTGACAGGGGACACGGGTGACAGGGGACACAGGTGACACAGGTGACACAGGTGACACAGGTGACACGGGTGACAGGGACAGGGCGGTGTCACCTGTCTCTGGCACCCCTCGACGATGATCAGTTTCTGCTGGGGGGACGTGCGGGCGAAGACGATCTCGGTGTGGTTGCGCAGGATCTCATCCAGCTGCTCCGAGCTCATGTCCTTCAGGTCCGAGCCGTGCACCACGCACGCCTTGGCCTCCCTGA